GGAGCAGAGGGAGGAAGCTGGGTCCTGGGAAGTTTGCTTCTTCTTGTAGCCTCCTCTGGAGGTGACCAGGCAGGCATCATGACACGGGTGCCCCAAGTTGGGGGGCTAGAAGAGACCAGAGAGGGAGCAGAACAGGCCTGGAGGGCCCTTGGGACTGGGGCTGCTTTTTGTTGGAATTGAAAACGTCCTGTCACTTCCCGGCAGAGGAGAAACCCACTCATGATAGAGTGTCTCTATCCCCATGCCTCTGTGTTTCTCTCTGTGTGTGTCTCTCTCTCTCTCTCTCTCATACACACACACACACATACACACACCCCAGGGAATGTTCCCAAACCCTCCAAGGTGGCAGGATAGATCACAAAGTCACTTCACCCCACACTAGCATGCTAGTCCTGGGGGTACGGGCAATTATTGCTATTATTATTTTCACTTGTGCCCATTTTGCAGGTGGAAAACTGAGGTTGGGGATTAGGCACCCTTCTGAGGTTCCATGGCTGGGAAGTCCTTCCTGTGTCACAGCTGCCACTGGTGACACTGTCTAAAATGAGATGCCGGGAGAGGGTGAGGCTGGGCCCATAGGGCATCTTCTTTGAGGGAACCTCAGGCACTGGTGAGGGGGAGGTGTGGAGGGGCTTTGTGGGCCACCATGGAGGGAGGTGTGCTGATCACCTCTCTGCAGGGGATCGAGTTGACAAGGGCCCGGCTGGCAGTGGGGATGAGACTCTCTCATTTGATCCCTGCAATGCACAGGGAAGATAGGCCTGAATGCCAGAGGTGCCTGGGAGGCAGTGAGAAGTGAGCCAGGCTTTGGAGCCTGCGGACTTCCGCCACACTGCAGGTATGCAGTGCTCCTCAGTGCCCACCCACACTGCAGGTATGCAGCAGGGCCCACGGGGACCACTGTCAGACACACAGAGGCACAATTCCAACACAGGGTGGGGGATGGGTGCAAGGGAGGACCCGGCCACCTCTGGGCTGCCTGAGGCAGTGGGGGCACAGGGGCCCGGCCGCCGACCCCCAGCACGGGCAGCAAACCTGAGCTGGGAGGATGGGGTCTGCCTGTGGCCAAAGACAGCACACCCCAGCTCACCTGCTCCCACCCCAACAGGGGACAGAGCTGGGGACCTGGGGCCATGTGTCCAAGGTCACGCAGCACAGGGGCCACAGGACTTGAACCTGATCTGTCCAGGCAAGCCTGAGCTTTAGCCACACCCCCCTGGGACCATCCTTCCCCAGAGCACAGCTGGAAGTCCTGAGGCTGGGACCAAGACCTGTGCTGGGGCCCCAACTCTGCCTTTAACCAGCTCCCTGGGAGGTGCTGGTTTGCACGGCCCTGGCTGAGGACCCAGACTCAGGGTGGAGCAACTGCCCAGAAGACATCTGCCTCTCTGCCTGCAGGGCCACAGGAACAACCTGAGGTTCCAGACCTGGGTTTGAGTCCCGACTGGTTTTGCTTTCACCAGGCTGGCCTCAGCTTCCCCATCTGTGAAGTGGGGCTTCCTGTTCCTGTCCCCCTCTTGGGGCTGTGGCAAGGACCCAGAGGAGGCAGTGGATGGCTCTGTGAGCTCTAAATGTGCTGGACACAACAGTCACTGTCACTCAGGCACCTGGTGTGTGCAGGGAAGACACACACACACACACACACACACACACACACACACACACACACACACACACACGCATTCGGGGGCTTGGGCCAAGGCTCAGTAAGCCAAAAGGTGGTGAGAGGAGGGGCAGAGACCTAGATGGCAGAAGACCTCGCTCTGGAGGAGTGTGGGGAGCAGTCAGGTGCAGAAGGGGTCCCTGAGCTGGGGTCTGGACAGCAAAGGGCGGGGGAGAGGAGCCTGTACGGGGAGCCACTAGGACCCCAGCCCTGGTCCTTTTGCAGACTGTGGGATTGGGAGCAAACCGTCCCCCTTCTCCCAGCCTGTTCCCCAGAGGTAAAATGGGGGGCAGGATCAGGGATGTCTGGGCAAAGAGGCCAGAAGGTGGACTTTGACAGGAGCCCCTGGGGGTGGGCGGCTTGGGTGGGGGAAGACAGTCCTGCAAGGGCACAGGCAGAGGCCTAGTGGTGAGACCCTGCAGGTAGCCAGGGCTGGGGTGCGAATCTTCCCAGGACCCCAGGTTGGAGCGGGTGCCAGGCAGGGCTCAGGAATGGCAGAGAAGCAGGACTGTGCATCCACTCAGCCCTCCGAGGTGCTCAGCCATGCTGAGCCCTGTGTGGATGTGACCTCCCGTGATCCTCTCTATGGGAAAACAGGCACAGGGTGGCTGGATGCATGGGTCTCAGTTTCCTCATCTGTAAAATGGGTCTGGCGTCTAACAGGGTCTGGTACCCAGGACATGCTCAGTGCATGGACGTGGGTCGAGGTAGCAGTGGTAGGGGCAAGTCTATGTGACCCTGGAGCCTAAAGTGTCCAGATCCCCGGTGAATAGGAACATGAATATTGGTGCTCATATAAATAGCAGCTAAATATGCACATGGCATCGATTTTGAGTAACAAGTGCTTCGCATACAAGAACGCATTCAATTCTCACAACACTCTACAAGATAAGAACTACTGTTATCCCCACTTTAGAGATGATAAACTGAGGCTGAGAGAGGTTAAGCCAGTGACCCAAGGGCACATCGTAAGTGGAAACCAAAACCTCAGGCTATTAACTACCATGTGTATTGCCTGTCAGATTCACATGCTGCCAGAGATTCTGCTTCATGGTGGTGTATAGGAACTTGATTTGTGTACAGGCCCTCTGCCCCACTACTCAGGGAGCTTTGAGGGTCCCCTAATTTGAGGAACCTGCCACCAGATGCTCACCTCTGCTTCTTCCTGCTACTCCACGACCAAGGAGAGTGATGGGGGCAGTAGGGAGCTACAGCAGGTTACTGAGCAGAGAACCACTGGGCTCTGGGAGGTTGGCCAGCCAGGGGCGAGGAGAGGTGGACAGGGGCCAGCCAGCACCCCCAAACAGCAGGTGACACGCCAGTCCTTGCCCCTCCACCTCACCCCGCAGTCTCCAAGGGCCTGAAGGGACAGATGGCATGGCCCAGGCCGGGGCCGAGGCTGTCACTCATCCAGAAGAGTCACCAGCAGGCTGGAGGGGCGGTAGCCAGTGGGGTGGGGGGCACGGAAATAATTGTACCGAGACCCCAAGACAATGGGGGCCACGTGCCATGGGGGCAACAGTCGTTTGTCACACAATGGGCTGCCTGGGGACGGCAGCCAGGCCAACTGCTGCCACTGACACGGGCCAGCCGTATTTTCGTGTCGTTTCCAGGTTCTGTTTTCCTCTGAGGCAGCCAATCGCGGAGGCAGCCGGGTGGTCACCTGATGCCAGCTTCGTGGGCTGAGGGCCCAGGCTGTGTGGCAACTGAGCAGCGGTGGCCATGGCAACGCTAATTGTGGCCCCGAAACACAAGGACCAAGGAGGCAGGGAGGTGGGAGGAGGGGGCGCAAGAGAGGGAGAGAGGGACAGAGAAGGAGGGAGGAAAAAAGAGCTGGCAAGCTGAAGGCCGCCTTGCAGGTGGAAGTAGGGGAGAGGCCATGGCCTGCAGGTTCCTCTGTCCCAAGACAATGGCAGGCTTCTTCATGTCTGTAGGTTTCGCATCTGAGGAAATTTTCCACTTGAGAAATTACTCTTGAAAGAAGTTTTTAAAATTTGCCTGGTGCGGTGGCTCAAGCCTGTAATCCCAGCACTTTGGGAGGCTGAGGTGGGAAGATGACTTGAGCCCAAGAGTTTGAGACCAACCTGGGCACCATAGCGAGACCTTGTCTCTGCAAAAAAATAAAAAAAATTAGCTGAGTGTGGTGGCACATGCCTGTCGTCCCAGCTACTTGGGAGGCTGAGGAGGGAGGGTTGCCTGAGCCCAGGAGGTTGAGACTAGCTGGAGGCATTGGCTCTCCCTCCCTCCCCTGTCTCTCCTTCTCTGTTAGCCCCTGAGATGCCTGTCTTGGAAACTCGGAGCTTAGAACTGAGCCTGTGGGCCTCCTGGCAACAGGACAGACAGTGCCAGGTGCTGCTGCGGGGGGTCTGGTGCGGGCTCCTAGACGGGCCCACATGGCGTCACATTGTAGCCCAGATGCTGTTGCAAGGCCCAGGCTCTTGGAGCTGTGTAGCAAGACAGGGCATGACGGTTATCTCAATTTGGGTGTCCACCTGGGACCCTGGATGGGCAGCAGTTTCCCTTTCATGGGAAGCAGTGTTTCTGCGAATCTGTTGGTGGTGGGGGTGGGTTTTGACTGGAGCCTCCAGGGGCCACTGAGGGCATAAAAAAGATCTCGGGTTTCAGGCTGCACTACCTGGGTCCCAGCCACGCCACTGCCTGTTCCGTGTGGCTTGACTTCAGGCTCATAATTCGGTGTTCCGAGCCTCAGTTTCCCCATCTATCTGGGGAGTATGGCATATCCCAGGTCTCAGGGCTGCCATGGGGATTGAGAGGGACCAGGCCGTGGAGCACAGAGCCCAGGGCCTGGCAGGTGGCAGGTACTCAGGGGTCTCAGCAGAGGACCACGTGGGCTGTTCCCAAGTCCCATGCCACTCACACAGCTAAAATATGGCAGGAGGCCACCTTGGACATGGAGTTGGGCAGCCTACTCTGCCCCGGCAGGTGGGACCTGACCACAGGCCCTGACTTCCGTTTCCCCATCTGTAAAACAGGAATAATAATAATACCTGCCTCATAGGGTGATTGAGAGGATTAAGTGGCTTGATGTCTGTGAATGCCTTGATGGGTGGCTGGCACAGAGTAAGTGCTCAACAGACAGCTTATTATTTTTGTGGTAGGTGCTAAGTGAGGGTGTTCAACCAGCAAAGGAAGGAATGATTTGAGGCCATGTGACTGGCAACCAAAGGGGTATCCTGGGACCAGGGGTGGGCAGGTGGGAGGGCTGGGGTGGTCTGGGGAGAGAAGGAGCCAAGGGAGCACTTCCAGAGGTCAGGAGCCTCCCCAGACACGGCACCAAGTGCCCCCTCCGGCCCGAGCTCCCTGCTCCTCCCTGCAGGCTCCTAGCTGCCAGTGTAGATGACGACATCCCCGGGGACCTGCAGTCGCTGTCGTGGCTCACAGCTGTGGATGTGCCTCGGCTGCAGCAGATGGCGAGTGGCCGCGTGGACCTAGGCGGCCCCTGTGCACCCCATCCACACCCAGGTAGGCTTGGGGGCAGGGTGGGCAGGGGGCAGGTGGAGCAGGAGAGGCGGCGACTCCCAGTCCTGCCACCCACCCACTGTGTGGCCGTGGCTGGGTCACTCAATCTCTTTGGGTCTCCCTTTCCACATCTGTAAAATGAGACAAGTTCTGCCTTCTTCAGAGGGGCGTGGCTCATCCTTTACTTAACACTGTGTGCCAGGCCCAGGTGAGCTAAGATTTCAAGGAAGAGCTGCAACATCCCTGCCACTACCTTGTGCATCTTGAACACCCAGGACATTTGCAAGCTACCACTGTGGGTCAGATGTAACCCATGGCCTGTTTTGGTACATCCTTGGTGTTAGGAAAGGACTTTACATTTTTTAAGGGTTGTGAAGTCACAAGACAGAGACCATATGGCTGGCCGAGCCTGAAACACTTGCTGTCTTGCCCTTTACAGAATGACTCGGCTGCCCCAATCTAGAGCATCCTAAGAGGTACTATATGGAAAGTGCTGAGCATAGGGCTTGGCGCACAGTAGGTGCTCAATCCATGGTGGCTAATTGCAATCATAGCAAGTGGATTAAACGCTTAAAGACACAGAAAGGACTGAAAGAAGCAAAATAAAACAATGACAAAAGCAATCACCCCAGTACATTAAAAGTACCAATAGTTGAAACATCAGCATTATTGCTTTCATTGGACAAACTGTTTTTGGGCAAAACACGTATAGTAGGCACCAGTAAACTCTTTCTGAAAACGGCCAGGGAGTAATTAGCTTAGATTTTGTAGGCCATCCGATCTCCATCAAAATGATTCAACTTTGCCATTTGTAGCCACAAAACTAGCCACAGATAATCTGTAAATAAACAGGTGTGCCTCTTGTGCTGATAAAACTTTATTTATAAAAACAAGCTGTGGGCCAGATGTGGCCTGCTGGTCCATTGGCCAACCCCTGATCTAGATCCCCCAGGGGGCAGCTGTGTGCTTGTGGGCATGTGCTTTCTCCTCTGATGGTTTCTCACCTGCAGTAAATACTACACAGTCGCCCGCATGGGGATTCAATGCAGAAAGCACCTTGAACACAGTAGGTGCTCAATTAATGGTAAAATAAAGAAGCCCCTTCCTTCTTCACTGCATCTGCTGGACACTTTCTGTGTGCCTGTCACTGTGCCAGGCTTTTGGAGCAATGAATCGGATAAGATATGGTCCCAGTTCTCAGGGAGCTGATGGTCTGGCCAAGAGAAAGGACAAGACCAACAGACCAAGGCACAGAGGATGAACCTAGGTGGCAGCCAGAACTCAGAGGAAAGCCAGATGACCCAGAAGTCTTCCTGGAAGAAGTAGCCTAGAGCAGGATCATCTTGCAGGCCAATCTTGCTTGACTGGAGGCGGCTGCTTACAACCAGGCTGGTGCAGTGAGAATCTGTGATGGATTAGCAATGTCTGTCACAGGCCCAGCACAGGAAGGCTGAGCATATCTGCTATTCTTGAGCTAACTCTTGGCAGAGGGCAGGGCACAGCAAGGGAGAGAGGAGGCACAGAGACATTTGGACTTGGGGAGCCATGGCATGTTTTGAAGAGAATAAATGAACAGCAAATCTGTATTTTAGCTTCATGAAGACTAGGAACCAAAGTATTACGTCATCATCATCATTATTTCCTATTGAGTCATATTTGTTGAGATAGTATCATGCATCCAGTGATGTGCTAAGCACTTGATGGACATCATCCCATTTAATCCTCACAACAATTTTATAGATAGGTGATATCAGTAGAGCAAGTAGAAATGGGGAAACTGAGGCGGAACCAAGCTTACATAGCTGTAGGACTCCCCCCTTTTCAGCATGATGCCCCAGGGATGCCAAGCACCTATTATATACCTGGCCCAAGGGTGGGGACAGCTCCGTCCTCTGGAAATGCCCAGGGACGGGGCCTCCCTGTCTGCGGCTATAGTTCTTCCAGCCCAGTGGCACCCCTATACTTGCCTCCCGCAGATGCCTTGGCTGGAGTGGCCAACCTGCACATGGGAGCCTCCCCAGGGCCCCTCCTCCATGGCCCGGTGGGCATGGCCGCTCAAGGCATGCTGGGCCTGGACCCCATCACCAGCCATGGAGCCAGTGTAAGTGCCGCTGCATGGGCTGGGGAATGAGGGTGGCGCCCTCCCCAGCTGGGGCACCCTGACCCTCTGTCCCCTCTTCTCCCACCCTGGCAGATGAGCCAGTTCCCCGTGGGGGGTCGGCACTCGTCCAGCCTGCAGGACCCACCACAGCTGTACCCGCCTACCACCCAACCACAGTTCCCGCTACCCCCAGGCACCCAGCAGGTACTAGGAGCCCTAAGGAGCCCAGGGCTCAGGGCAGATGGCAGGCCTCGGCAACTTACCTAGAGCACGGGTCTAACATCCCCCACCAAGCCCAGGCGGCAGGGCCATTTGTTCAGTTCCCCAAAGCTCCCACCCTGGGTGGAGACAAGGTCACCTCCTACTGCCGTAAGTCCCCACACCAAGAGTTCGAAACTGGGGTGGGTGGAGCCATAGCACATGGCTGGAGCTCTTTCTCACCTCCTCTCTCTCTCTCCACCCCCTGCCCATCCCTGCCTGCGGGCAGTGCCCTCCTGTGGGCCTCTATGGCTCCCCGTTCGGGGCACGGCCTCCCTACCCCCAGCCCCATATGGCTGTGCACTCATCTCAGGAACTGCACCCCAAACACTACCCCAAGCCTATCTACTCATACAGGTGAGTCCAGGGTGGGCTGGTGGGGCCGTGGGGGGCTCGGGGAGGAGAGGGAGGAGGCAGCCGTCAGGGCCTCTTAGACCACTGGCTGTGGAGGTCGACTTCCGGGGGGAGGTTTTCGGGTATCCCCAGGTGGGACTTGCCTCAGGAAGGCCCGTCATGTGGCTAGTCAACCCCCGGGGCAGAGAGCCCACTTTGGGCTGTGAGCCTGTGCCCCACTCCACTCAGGCAGTGTGGCCTCAGTTTCCTTGGGTGCAAAAAGTCATCAAAAGAAGAGTATGGGGAACCTCACAGGCATCTGGGGAGGGGGGAAAGCAACCTAGGTGAAGCCTAAAGGCCCCCAGCCACTCATGATGGGGACTGGGTAGAGAGAGAAAATAGGAGATTCTGCAAAGGGTACCAACCACTGAGCCCAGGGTCAAGGAGGAGGGTGGAGGATGGGGACGACACTGAACCGCCAAGAGGTTTCGAGGGCTAGCCCTGTGTGAGTGTGGGGGCTGGTCCTGGTGGGATCAAGCGGGGCAGGCTTCCTGGCAGAGGGGGCCTTGGGTCGTCAGCGCGGACCCCGTCACGCCCACCTGATCCTGCCTGCTTCTTGCCCCAGCTGTCTGATTGCCATGGCACTGAAGAACAGCAAGACAGGCAGCCTGCCTGTGAGCGAGATCTATAGCTTCATGAAGGAGCACTTCCCCTACTTCAAGGTGAGGGGTCCCTGCCCGGGTGGGAGTGCCTGCCGGAGCTGCCAAAATCAGGGCTGGCCCTCAGCCGATGAGCCACCCTCCAAGTCGCCAGCAGGTCTGTTTACCTGGTAGTAAGGTCGTGTGCACATAGACTCGCACAGAAGGAGGAATGAGAAGGGAGCATTAGGGCTGGGCTCTGGCAGGTAAAGAGGAGTACACTAGGCATCTCAAAACAGACTCAGTAAAACGTAATGACGACACACACAGACCTGGCACAAGCCCTCACCTTCCTGAGCCTCAGTCTCCTCATCTTTAAGCTGGGGGAATTCTACCCCGCTGGCAAGGTCAGTGAGGCTCCTGTGTGGAGAGGGCCTGGTAGCTGCCGGCACGTGGCCGGTCATCAGGAACGCCACCCTTGTTGGCATCAAAGCAAAAGAGGAGCAGGAAGCCAGGGGGACCCTCATCTGGACAGCGTCCTCAGAAGAAATACTGCCACACAGGGTGTGTGTGTGTGTGTGTGTGTGTGTGTGTGTGTGTGTGTGTGTGTGTGGGGTGTAAGCTGCCTTGCCCTATCTGGCCATCAAGAAAGTGTGAGCACGTGTGGGAACTGGCACTGAGGACACCTGACCAGCTTTCCAGCACCAGCAAGGCTCTCGCTGGCTTCTGGAGTGGGGGAGAGAATGGCAGCGGGCCCTGCAGCCCTGGGCCATGCTCCCCCATTGCGAGGCCATCAGGGCACAGGCCCCTGTGGGCCGCAGTTCCCGCCCTTCTCTCTTGCTCCCCCGCCAAGGCTGAGTGCCTGCCCTGGTGGGGCCCACCCCTCCAGCCCCTGGAGAGGACCCCAGGAGAGGACAGGTTTCCGGGAGGGCTCTGAAGGGCTCTCCCGAGCGCCCGTGTCTCCTTAGACGGCGCCTGACGGCTGGAAGAACTCGGTGCGGCACAACCTGTCGCTGAACAAGTGCTTCGAGAAGGTGGAGAACAAGCTGAGCGGCTCCTCGCGTAAGGGCTGCCTGTGGGCCCTGAACCTGGCGCGCATCGACAAGATGGAGGAGGAGATGCACAAGTGGAAGAGGAAGGACCTGGCTGCCATCCACCGGAGCATGGCCAACCCGGGTGAGGCCTGGACAACCCCGCGCGCACGCTAGCCCAGCCCGGCTGGCCTGCTGCGCATCTTGGCCGTAGGAAGGGGCACCGGTGCCGGGGAGCATCCCTCTCCCTGCGGGGCATGCCTCCCCGTGCACCCCGTCCAGTGGCTGCTACTCTAGGGGCCTGGGCAGAAACCCGAAGAGCTGTCGGATCTCGCTAGTCATTCTCAGTTTCCCCCTCAGGAAGGCCAAACTACACAACCATGGGGTGACACTGCCTCCCTGCCACACGGGCAGAGGTATTTAAAATGAGGAGCCATGCCTGTGAGCCCAGCACTTTGGTAGGCTGAGGTGAAGGATTGCTTGAGCTCAGGAGTTCCAGACCAGCCTGGGCAACATAGCAAGACCTTGTCTCTATTTTGTGGGGAAAGGAAATTAAATTGGAAAAAAATAATAAGACAGTAACACCCGGTGTGGGCTAGGATGTGGAGAAACAGACACCATCATACACAATGGGTGGAAAACGTAAGGTGTTCAGTTCTTTGAAGGCAGGGTAGTATATCAAAAACCTGCAAACAGTACCAATGTATTGGTCCAGTTGTTCTATTTCTGAAAACATATGCTGAGGAAATCCAAGATTTGAGCCAAAGGTCTCTCTCTAACAGTTATCCATCCCAACATTGTTTCCAAGAGCAAAAAATGAAAAGTAATCTAAACATCCCACGATGGAGGGTTGGCTAAATAAATATAATGACATAGCATGCAAGTGTTACCGATGAGAAATACTTTAAAATATTTTTGGACTATAAAGAAATGCTCCCAATACACATGTGAAAATGGGCAGATTATAAATCAACACACACAGCTTAATCACTTTTTTTTTTTTTTTGAGTTGGAGTCTCACTCTGTCGCCCAGACTGGAGTGCAG